AAGATGGAGAGGAAGGCGGCAAAAGTGGAGGATTGAAAGGAGACTGATGGCAAGGATGAAATGAAGCGGCAGACGGGCATTGAAGATGAATCGGATGGTGGGAATGACAATAATGCGAAAAAATGTAAGAAGTAATGAAAGGCATGCGATAGCGTAGCTCAGCATGTTTGTGTGATTTTCACTTCCTCACATCATCTGACACGTCTGAAAATCGATCGGCGGCACGTGTCGCGTGGTGTCTCGTGTTGCAGTGTAGTGTTGTCTCCGGACAGCATTCCTTGTTGATAGTTTCTTGCCTTTTAAGGATGGAATTAGTAAAGCCCTGCATGATTTGACGGCATTTTGACCGAGTAATTCCCATTTAAATTAATGCTCTCGCCTAATTAAATATGGTTCAAATGACCATGATCTGGACGTACGCCTTATAGGGCAAAGTAGAGAGCACATCACTGTCTTGGAACTCCAAGCAAAACCAAGTAACGTGGCCCCTGACCGAGACCTGGCCATTTGATTTCACTTCGAATGTGTCCTAAGCATGCGGCAGTGAGGCGCAAAAATACTTGCTACTTAAATATAGCGGGTAAAGCGTTAACCTGCTTCAAATATGCCTCAGCTGAAAAGAAACATGTTTAATAGTAGAGCTAAACTCGTGAGAAAAATTGTTTATAACGATGTATTGATGACACGAGATTATCGAAATTTTGGCTTGCTTTGCCCGGTATGGCAATCTATTGCTACTTAACACAGACTACTCCGTATACCATCCTAGCCGCAGTAGGACAAGGCATCCAGAGGGAAACAAACCTCAAGATCTACATGTACTGAGTGAGTGTGAAGGAACCAAGAGCTGGACAATGGGATTGCCGAATGCAGTAATGATAGTAAACGAAAAGAGGAATGAAGGATTGGAAAGAGTTGTTGGTGGAGCTTAAAGTGGTGTGGCGAATTTTGTGCATACTGCGAGCAACTCACGAGCGATTCGAACATTTTTTGAAGCAATATTTAGGCGTGTAGGCAATTTATTGCTTTATTATTAAGCGAGTTGGTCAATAAGCGATGATGTCCAAGAGCAAGGATAGCGCCAAATGTAAAACTGGTTGCACATGCAGTTGTAGTTGTAGGTGTGGAGTGTATGTGAGGGCATAAATTGGCGGTCCTCTAAACGACCAATTAACGGCTTAGCAAAAGAGTTATGGAAGGAATTGGTGTAAAAGGGGATTTATTGCCAGCAGAGGATTCATTGCCCATGTGAGCTTCAAGCCATATCATTCGGGTGGCGATTCTAGTGGCATTTTATTTAGCAATATAGTGGAAGGTAAAGAATAGAATTGAGTAGGGCGTAGTGCACCAGCATTAAAAACCTTGCTTTTTGATGTTTCCCTATTGGCCTTTATGGAACCCCCATAGAAACCATGCCAATCCATTTACACAGTCGAAAACATGGCGTTATGTGAAAGTGTAGTTTGCAGCCACCCTGTGCCTGAAGGAAAATATGCTGCAAGCATCGTCGCCTGAATAATGCAGAAACGCTAGGACACATCGGCACACCCTTATTTATCGTGGCTACGCCAGAATTCATATTGTCATTTCATAAATGCTTCCAACTAGCGTTTGTTTAACAGCAAGTAAAGGCATCAAAATGTAGAAGTGATAATATCATTGTTTTGTTATAATTTCCTGTTTACCTTCTTTTCTACCTTATTTATAATGAAGTTATCAATTAACAGAGAGTAACTCGGATAATTAAGACTTGCTGTGGGGAAGCGCTTTCTGGTGACGTAGCGTATGGCGGAACGGTATGCATGGTGGTGATTATGTAGTTGCGGAGGCGTGTCGGAGGGGCGCAACCAGCGGCGAGCGACGCCTCGGTGAAGCTGTAGTCGTCTTCGCTGTACGCCATTGCCACAATTTCCAGCTACCTTGACTCTCAAATCAGAGGCATTGTTTCAATTGTAACGTCTCGCCTACACACACTGAGGTCCTACTCACCGACCAATTTTCATGACCAACGTCTTCTCCACCATTTTTACTTCACTTCTGTCCCTACCCTCACGTAGACACTTGCTGACCGACGCATAGCACCTGCTCCCAGCTCTTTACCTATAGCTCTTGGGTGCTTCTTTCTCATATTCTTTTGTGTCTGCATATCAGTCCATGTTGGGCGCAGACCCTGGCACACCTGCAAGTGAATAAATGCTTTAATATTTCTTGTGTTCTTTATATCGGAAGGTTTTGTTCAGGAGAACC